TCGATCTGTGATATTTAGCTATATATTATTATTTTGTTTTTGTAAAAAAAAAGACAAAAAAAAAAAAAAAATAAAATAATAAAAAAAAATAAAAAAATTTTAAAAAATAAAATTAAAAAAAAAAAAAAAAAATTAAAAAAAATAAAAAATAAAAATCTTTTTTTTATAGTGTTGAAAAAGTAAGAGGAGTGTTGCTTTTGGTAATTAAAATGAGGGGGGTGAGTGAAATAAGTTAATTCAGATAAATAATTTCTTTTAAGATAGATTGAGAATATTAAATTTATTATTTAAACCTTACATTATTTTTCTTTTTTTTTGAAATACAATTTTCTTTTTTTATTTTTTTTTTATTTTTTTTATTTTTCAAAATGGTTTGGGGTTATTTATTCCCATTTAGAAATTCTACAACCTTTAATGATTCTTCAATGTGAGATTTTGATGTGAACCAATGGGTTAAATGACTGAGTACAATTTCTCCATTATGTATAACAAATGTAGCTCTACTAAAATGGGCACCAAATGCTTTTTCAATCTTTCTTTTTCGGTCAATTAATAAGGGAAATGGGAGATCATTTTTACAATGGAATTTTTTTTGTTTTTTAATTTTATCACCACTAATTCCCACAACCTGTTTTAAAATTTTTTATTAGTTATAAAAGTATTATTTATCAAAAATATATATAACTACATACATGACAATTTGCATCAATAAATTTTTGATAGTTTTCTTTGAATTCAATATTTTCACGGGTACATATCATACCAATATTTGAGGGAAAAAAGAACATTACAAGAGGTTTATCAGAGAAATCTTTTAGTTTTACATCAACTCCATCTTGATTTTTACATATAAAATCAGGTGCAATTGATCCAGCTTTTAATAAACCCATTTTTAATTATAGTTTATATTTTTATAAATATTAGTTAATTTTTTTTTTTTTTTTAAATTAATATCGACTTTTTAAAATTATGAAAAAAAAAAAAAAGTTAAAAAATTAAAATAATATTTATGAAATTATAAATTGTTTATTAATGATTGGATATTAAAAATATCTTGCTAAAAAATATATATTTTAAAATATCTGTATATTTTATTGGGGGGTGAAAGGTTATACAATTTTTTTAAAATAGGAGTGGTGATTGTGTTTTTATTAATTTTTTTATATATAACCATATTATTTACATATATATTATTTTATTTTCTATTTGAAAAACCCTCACCCACACTTATATGTTCTTTTGCATGCTTTCACATATTAAATCACCAAAATAATATATTTATATAGTAAAAGTATTGATAATGTAATTTTAAAAAATAGTTAATCGAATTAATAAAATCAAATTATTAAATCATTTGATAAAATTATATTGATTTCGCTGATTAAAATGTAAAAGATTTTGTAGTAATTAAATTATACTTTTATGTATATTACATAGACAGATATTAAATATATTAAAAGGAGGTATTTTATTTAAATAATAAAAGAAAAAATAAGAATTTTGAGAAAAAGTTTATTGAGGAAATAAATAAGATTTGTTTATTGCAAAAAGAAAAAAGATTACTACTATTCAGTTATAATACGATTATAAGTAATGATTGTGATAAAAAAAATAAAAAAAATAAAATTTTTTGTTTGATATATGATCATATGAAACATTTTTAGTTTAAAAATATTTATTTTATTTTTATTTAAAAAAAAAAAAGAATAAATTAAATTACAAATATTTATTGTTTTTTTATAAATTTTAAATTATAAACTATATATATGGAGATGAACTATTTATAACATTATTATTATTATATATTTCTATTGTTTATATTGATTTTTTAATGTAGGTCCGATCTCTTACAATTTCTTGGTTCTCTTAGCATTGATACACGATATAAATTATCTTCAGTCCAAACTGGTAAATTTAAAAGTGTTTCTTTGACTCTAGGGAATTCTTCAAATTGATATGGGTTCTTTTGGAAGTGTTGAATGGTTTTTAAAATATTATACAAATTCAAACTTTGTTTAATGTTTATTCCTGGACCAACTTTATTTGTATCATCCTGAATAAATGTTAAATCTTTTAAATAAACACCACTAAATTTGTTAAATAAGAAAGAGAGTTAGTATTTTGTTAATAAAAAAGTAAATAAAGAAAAAGAAATCTTACAGATAGGGTATGCAGGATTGTTTTGGGTCAACTTGAGATAAATCATTACGATAGGCTTCATGATTACCTTCAACAGACATTAGAGTTTGTAATTCTTGAGAAACTTTTTGAATTTTTGGTTTGAGCTCTTGTTGGGTATGTTTTAAACGGAAAATATGAACTTCATTTAAACCAGATAAAATGGCCATCAATGTATGATAGTTATTATAGGAACGTAAATTTTTAGCGACCTTCAATAGCTTTCCCATTATTTTAGTTCTAGCTCTTATTTTTTCTTCCTTTAGAATAACTGTGCAAACCCATTTAGTAACAGTGTTGAATCTATCGATTGCTGCACGAATATTGGGTGCTAAATGGAATGTTTTTTCTTTTGCCCATGCTTGGTTAAGGAATTCTGATGATTGGATTTTAGAAAAGATTTCAAATTCGATTAGTGTTAATTGTTTTGCAATTTCTTCAGCAGGTAGTGCAATAATATCGTTAAATTGAGTTGCCTTTCTAACAGACATCATTCTACCAATCTTTGATTGTGATCTATTGGGTCTACGTCTATCATCGGATTGATTAGAGGAATCCATTGAATCTATTTTGTAAAGTTTCTTTGAGAATGAACGAATTAAATGATTTGTTAATGGTGAGCTCTTATCAATAATATGAAGTAAGAAAATCTTGAAAATTGTAATAATTGTTGGATTAAAATCTGCAAAATGGTCATCGATCAGCTTTTTAAAAACTTTAGAGACTTTGGCTTGGATTGGTGCTTCTATACGTTGTTTCCAATCTAATACTGATTTTACATTACTAGCTCTAGGGATATGATATCTTTGGAAAAGCTTTTCTATCAATTGTGATGTTGATATAAAGGTTCTATAGGTTGCAAGACATGCATTAACTTCAGAAATTTCTGTAGCAACTGTAATTGAGGTTAATTTATCGACAAGTTGATTTAAATTCATTAGTTTTTGTACATTAGGTGGTGGTGTTGGTTTATTTATTATTGGTACTTTTTCATTAGAATTGATTATTGCTGAATTGTTTTCATTATTTATTTCAATATCATTATTATTGATACTATCATTGGATTTACCTAGATCTAATTGTTCAACGTTATTGGAAATACTATTTGATGATAAAGATAATTGATTTGTATTACCATTATTATTATTATTATTATTATTATTATTATTATTATTTATTAAAATTTCATTTGGTAATTTAAGTTCTTGTGGCTTGATAGGTAGTGGTATAGTAGAAAGGGAAATTGACATTGATCTTGGTGAAATAGTAGATGATAGAATTGGTGAAAATGGTGGTGGTGGCATAGCTTGACTATTTAAAGTTGGAGTTACAATTGGAGATTGTACACTTGGCGAAGATGTTGCTGATCCACCAGAAGGAGTGCATGATGGGGTTGTGGCTGTACTTGAAATTGGTGAAGAAAACCCACTTCCTCCATTGCTACTATTTAATGGATTTGATTGTGGGGTTGATATATTACTATTGGATCCACTTAAGGTATTATTACTATTATTATTATCTTGGCTATTTACATTTGATTGATTATTATTATTTAAATCATTTATTCCATTATTTATTAACTGCTGTGTTGTGCAATAATCATATAAATAATCTACACTGTGTAAAGATGGGTCGTCCCAAATATTAACATCACCTTCATGATGTAATTTCTTTCGATATTGATAGTATAGTTGTTCCCAAAGACTGCTATTATCGATTACCTTGCTCCATTTTTTACAAACACGTTGGCAAATTGATAGTTCTCTTATATCGAAATTACGAAATATTTTTACCAATATAAAATCGTTGACCTTGGAGATATCAAACACTTTGAGGATTTTTTTCTTATCTAAACCACATAGCAAACCTTTGGCCATATCAGAGGATTGCTGAAGATGACCTTTAATAAAAGTACGTAATATGAGCATTGTTCCATAGTCAAAGATAACTTTTTTTTGATCGATAACTTTTTTCAATAGTTTACCAACTCTTAATTGGATAGGTCTTTCTACTATTTTATCCCATTGAGCAACTGATTTTTGATATTCTTTTGGCACAATATAACGTTGAACTAATTTACAAATTAATAGTTTTATTGGGAAATGATGACAAGATTCTATAAAATCTGTTACCTCACTGGTACTTGGTGTTGTATTAATTGGTGTAAATTTTCTTAAAACACTATTTAATATTATATTACTACTATTATATGATCCATAAACTATACCTGTTCCAATAACATTATTACCTGTGGAATTTGTTGTTGTAGTGCTATTACTATTACTACTACCACTACCACTACTATTATTATTATTGCTATTATTAATATTAATATTGCTACCACTATTGGTGTTATTGGTTTGGTTAAATATGGATGCTGAGGGTATATTCGATGAATTTGGTGTTACTGGTAAAATTGATGTTGATGATATTATATTTGTACTATTTATTGTATTATTATGATTATTAATATTATTATTTATAGTTGCCATTTCATTAAATAAAACTGGACTAGGTAACGCTATTGTATTACTTCTCAATCTTTCCATTGGTCTTAATTTATTCATAATGGTATTACCGGCACTTGTACCTATACTTAAAAATCCTCCGTTACTGCTACTATTACCACTATTATTAAAAATATTTACACTGTGTGGTGGGAATAGATCATCTTCCCAAATATAAATATCATTTGGTTCTAAAATAAAAAAATAAATTAATATTAAAGCTTTGAATAATATATTATTTAGTAAATATACATACCACTATAAAGTTTTATATAGTTTGAACATAGATCTTTCCAAATTTGTTGATTATTATTTATAATATTACAAGTAAGCTTACAAGTTCTAGTTAATTGAACTAAATCTTCTGCTAAAAGAAAACCAAATATTTTTAAAAATGATTTTTCATCCAATTCTAAAAATGATTTGGTACAAATTGGTTTGTCGCCATCTTTTTCCATAGATGGTTGACCCTCTTCATTATCAATGCTTTTGTTGTTGGTACCATTGTTTTTATTAGTTAATAATTTTGATGAAACTGTTAAAGGTGGTGATGAAGATAGAATTGATGAAATGGTGGTAGCTGAGGTATTTGGTGAGTTTGATGTATTTCCAACAATAAGAGTACTGCTACTACTATCACTATCATTGTCAATTGTTTGCTTGGTTGATAATGAAGGGGATGAGGCTGATGATCTTCTTGTGGCAGATAATGATGGTGAGGCTGGTGCTGGTGGAATGACAATTGGTGATGATGGTCTTCTTGTTACAACGAATTGTGACTGCTTATCTATTGATGAAGAGGAGGAAGATGATATATCATACTCTTCCTCGCTGCTACTACTTTCATCATCTTCATCATCATCTCCATAGCTCATTACATGTGATAAGCCACTTGGACCCCTAACAAATTTCTTTTTAGTCTGTAATAATAATTTTGTTGTTGATGATAACGATGAAGGTGATTGAGGATTATTATTGCTGTTGCCATTGCTTACAATACTATTATTATTTACTGTTGTATTACTGCCAGTTGATGATTGACCAATGGTATTTGCGTCATTTGTAATATTTGCATCGGTACCACTATTTTCGAAATCATCCTCTGCCATTTTATTAAACTCTGCCATTGACTCAGGACTAAAGTATCCAGACAATCTCTTTGATGTGAATGGATCGTCCAAATCAAAAATCTTTATTCCATTTCTTTTATCACTAGTTGGGGTATTACTACCGCTACTGCTATTTGAACTACTGAGTATTGGGCTTTTATTCATACTACCATTGCTATTATTATTGGTTGTTATTGTAGTTGTACTATTATTACTGTTACTATCCATTTTATTATTTAATTTAAAGAAAATTTGAATAATCAAATTATTCAATAATAATAACCCTTTCTCTTTTCTCTTTTTCTCTTTCTTTTTCTATATTTACTATAATTTATTTTTTATTTTAATTTTCGAATTTATTATAAAATAATTTTTCTGTTGTTATTATTATTATTTTTATTAATTATTATTATTATTATATTTATAAAAAAAATTAAAAAAAAAAAAAAAAAAAAAAAAAAAGTTATAAGATATTTTTAAAAAAAAAAAATTTTAAAAAAAAAAAAAAATGTTTTGGAAAAAATTTTTAAAAATATATAAAATTTTAAAATGATAACATAGATATAAATAAATTTGAAAATATAAATAACAATAACCAAAAAAACAAATTTGTTGTTGCGGTATTTTTATTGGTATTGTGAAAATAAAAAAAATATTATAAGAATGAAAAAAAAAAAATATGTTATATTTGGTGTGAAGGTGCCTTAGAAAAAAAAAAAAAAAAATTATTTTTATTTTTTTTATTTTTTTTATTTTTTTTTTATTTTTATTTTTTTTTATTTTTATTTTTTTTTTTTTTTTTTTTTTTTTTTTTAAAGAAGGTTATGTGATAATTGAACAAATATGATGGTTATAAATATATTCAAATTATATGAATTATATATATTTATAATTTTTGTGTGAATTTTTTTTCTTTGTTTAATTTGAAATCAAAATGGTTGTTTTTTTTTTATTTTTTTATTATTATTTGTTTCTCTTTTTGTAATTTTAAATTATCGGATAATGATCCCCTATCTTGTTTGTTATCAAAGATTATCTTTAAATTTGCAAATTTTATCATTGTCGATTTGGATTTTTTTTTTTTTTTTGGGTTTAAAATTTTTTTTTTTTTGGTTTTCCCTTTTTTTTTTATTTTTTTTTTTTTAGGCCCCAGGAACATTTTAGGTTTTAAAAAGGTTTTAATGGAATGGTTTTTTTTTTTTTTTTTTTTTTCAATTTCATTTAATTAATTAAATAAAAATTTCTAATTTGTTAATAAACATACATTAAAAAAAATTAAATATACAAAAATTTTTTTTTCAAATATAAAAATTTACATTTTTAAATAATTGTAAAATTAGATCCAAAAAGTTTTAAATAGATCCATTTATATATTTTTTGGAATAATGAGAAAATTACTAAAAATAAATAAAAAAAATATTTCAAAATTAAAAAAAAAAAAAAAAAAAAAAAAAATTTTTCATTTTTTTTTTTTTAAAATTTATAAAATTTTAAAATACACGAATTTTTTTTTTTTCATTTATTTCAACAAATGTGTTTGTAATTTTATAACAATAAAACAAACAGTATTGACAATAACAAATAAATCACTTAACATACATTATATTAATATGCATTATATTGGTTTTTTATTTTCCCATTAATTAAATAATTTGTACAAAACACATATATATAATAAACAAATACACCATAATATAAAATAATGTCAGAAGAATTAGAGAATAAGTTTTTAGAGTTATGTGCAAAATACCCAGCTGGTTTAAACCAGCAAATGATGGAAATGGGATTAGGACATAAGATGGAGGATGTTGCAAAAGTTATAAATAATTTATTAAAGCAAGGTAGACTTCTTATTCACCAAAATCCCGATGAAACTACATCTTATAGAGAAGTTAATCCAGAGGATCAAATGAAGTATGTAGTACTCAATAGTAATATATACCAATGTACATTTAATTAATTTATTTCATTTTTTAGATTTAGAGGATTAGGAGCGGAAGATTTTTTAATATATCAATTAATTGAAACATCAGGTAACAATGGTGCATGGACAAGAGAGTTAAAGCAACAATCGGGATATCAACAAGTACAAATTACAAAAATATTAAAGATTTTAGAGAATCGTAAGTTAATTAAAGCGGTTAAATCAATTCAGTCAGGCAGAAAAAAGGTATATATGTTATATAATATGGAACCCTCAAGAGATGTTACAGGTGGTACATTATATGGTGGGGATCAATCATACGATCATCAATATATTCAAATTATGAAAATGCATATCAAAACATTCGTTGAAAATAAAGGTGCTGTAGATTTAAGCGATATTATGACATATTTAAGAAAGGTAGCAGAAGAAGCCACAAGTCAATCATTGGGACCAGAGGATATTCAAGCATTAGTAAACACAGTCATCTATGATGGTGATATTGAAGAGATGAGAGATACCAGAATGGGAGCATTAATGGGAAGAAGATCCGGTATCCTTTATAAACCAACCAAAACATCAATACCTGTAAATAATTTTTGTAATATGCCATGTGGTAATTGTCCAGTATTTGAAATTTGTAGCGACGATGGTATTATTTCCCCAAAAAAATGTGTATATTTTCAACAATTTCTTGACCAAACCGATGATTTAGATTTTTGACATCACAATAAAACAAAAATTAAATAAAAATAAAAATAAAATAAAACAATATAAAATAAAAATCTAAAGGTTTTTTCTTTTTCTTTTTTTTTTTTTCTCCAATAATATATAATATTGGTAGTGTTTAAAATTTTATATATTATATTAATATAAAAGTTTTAATTGTTTATTTTAAAATATGTAAAAATTCTTTTTTTAAAATATCATTAATATTATTATAATGATCGATTATCGTTTTGTCTAAAGGTTCGTTAAAATCTTCGTTGTAACCACACATTATTGAATAGTTGACATCAGCAACAATTTTTTGAATATCTTTAGATTCTCTACCGGCGTTTAAGCTCTGTAATAGTGACTCTTTAGAGTAGATCGATTGAACTTTTTCGTGAGTAAATAAATCTCTGACTGAAGTTGCGATACCATGAGCACTCTTTCTGTGACCCTTTTCAACTGCGATATGAAGTGGTGTTTTATTTTCACAGTCCATTAGATTTGGATCGGCTTTATTCTTGAGAAGGATTTCGATGATTTGATGACTAAAATGATGCTGTAAAGGTTTACCAAATCTTGCCATGTTGACCCAATCCTGGGTGTTTAGTACTGCTCTATGAAGAGGTGTTCTATTTTTATTATCTAAACAATCTACTTGAATTTCTGGATGTTCCAATAATAGCTTTATAATTGAAAAATAGTTTTTTGATGATGCAATATGTAATGGTGTTGATCCGTAATCATCGTTTAGTTTTGAAATAGGTGTTAATTCAATTTTACAATTTACATTAATTTTTTTTAAACTATTACTATTTGTTGTACAATTTGTATTGATAATATTAGTTTGATTATTATTTTGATTGATATCTTGATTATCTAATTTAACATCTATTATTGAAGTTGTTGTTGTTATTGTTGTTGGTAAAGTTTTTACTGAGTCTTTTTCTAAATTTAATAAAATTTTTAACATTTTGATATTATTTTCTTTAACAGCTACATGTAATGGATAAAGACCACTTGGTGAGGAAATTAATGGATCAGCACCATAGTTTAATAAAAGCTTCAACATTTCGGGTGAGTCTTGTTGATGTTGTTTTGTAGCGACATGTAAAATGGATCTACCCTTGTTGTCCAATTGATTAACATTTATATTTTCATTTTTTAACAGTATTCTTAATATTTCTAAACGAACACTATTGGATGGTTGGCCATGGACAAACTCGATTGCAAAGAATAGTGGTGGTTTACCTTTACAGTCGCATTTGTGGTTTATATTGGCCCCTTTTTCCAAAAGAGCTACTACCAGTTGTTTAAAACTCCATTTGCATGCTATATGTAATAGTGAGAGTTGATCGATAGTCTTTCCATCTCTTTCTTTTGGGTCATTTAACATACGCTCAATAAATTGTAATTTTGATTTTGATTTTGATGCATAGACTCCGCATGATTGGAATGGTCTTTTTAACCATGACTTTTTACCACGAACAAGAGATGCTAATGTTGGGTAGATCCTTCCGATTTCATCGTACAGTGACACTCCAGTGTAGATGCCCAAATAGCTTAATAACATATGTGTTGGATGTTGTGCATGAGCATTATATGATATTACTAAACAATTCTTTTTACTAGTGCTTGTTCTGATCAAAAATGTGCCCTTTCCCTGTGTTGATAATGCCCTTTCTGCATCCTCTCTTGTAAATGACTCTTGCCACCACTCAGTATGATTTAAATACTCTTTTGCCCAATATTTATAAAACTCTTTCCATGTGCTATTTGGTAACCTTTTGTTTTTTTCTTCGCCTATATTAAATAACCAATACCATTGACTTAAACATTTGTCATACCCTTTATAAATAAAAGATGTATTTTATTAGAATTTAATTTCGTTATAAATATTATATATGCGTAAACAAATACATACAAAGTGTATTTAGTGACGAAATGTGTGACCAATAGGTTGATACTAAACAACATATTCTTAAGTCAAAGGGCGATAAATATTTAAATATATATATTATAATTTCGTCTGGTAAATCACATATACTAGTTGCTGCTGAACCATCCCTATAGATTCCACTATTGCAACCATTATTTATAAAATAATTTTCGACACTATTCTTTAAAAAGTTTATATTTTTGATAATATTTGATCTAATTATTCTATTTGTAAAGTTAAGATTATAATCTAAAATTTCTTTTTTCTTTTTTTGATTATTATTATTATTATTATTACTACAACTTTTAATATTATTATTACTATTATTACTATTATGAACTATATTATTATTTTGGCTAATATTACCATTACTATTACTATTACTATTATTACTATTATTATTATTATTACTGCTACTATTATTATCCGTACCTGTACTGTTAGTATTTGAAATATTAATATTATTAAATGATCTTAAAAGTAATAAATGTGAATTTATAGAATTAATATCGGTTGAGGTCATTCTCGAGAATTATTTTGTTATTTAACGATTTTTATTCTTTTTTGTTTTTTTTATTATTTTAGGATTTAATGATTGGTTGTAGGATTATGATTTATAACTTTTTATATTATTATTGTTTTTTATCATTTAAAAAATATGTTGTTTTTTTAAAAATGAAAAAATAAAAAATAAAAAAATAAAAAATAAAAAAAAATAATTAAAATATTAATTTAACGTAATTTAAAAATTATGGGATGTATTTGATTAGTGATAAATATATGGGAAAATGTCATAAAAACAAAAGAACAAATATCAAACAAAGATATACTATATTATTATTTTTTTATTATTGTAATATTAATATTACTAAATTATTTAATTAATTATATTTTAACACATGCAAAAATAAGATAAATAAAAAAAAAAAAGATTTTTTTATTTTCCAAATTTTTATTTTTTTTTATTTTTTTAAAATATTTTATTTATTATAATTTTTTTTCTTTTTTTTATTATTTTACATTTATATTTTATTATAATAAAAAATGAACATTGTAAATTTTTAGAATATAAAAAAAAAAAAAAAAAATTAAAATAGAAATAAAATAATTAAAAAAAAAAAAAAGGTTTGTTTTTTTTTTTTTTAATTTAATTTGAAATTTACATTGTATTAAACCTTCCCCCCAATATCATATTTAGGATGATGGAGCAGGAAATGAACCTTTTTTTGTTGAAATTTAAATAAGTTTTTTTTTTATAATAATAAATAAAATTTTAAACAAAATATTCCCCATTGGGTATTTTAAAATTGTATTGTATATCATTTTTTTTTTTTTTTTTTTTTTTTTTTTTTTTTAAAACTAAAGTTTAAAATATCTCTTCAAAGACGCTGTACTGTGTTATCGGTGTGCTTTTTTTAAACTTGTGTGTGTTGTTTGTTTTAAAAAAGTTATTTATAATTCATTAATAGAAATATAATAGATATAAAATAATAACATTACTTTTAACTGTATTATAATATTGTCTTTGTAATAATAAATTAATAAAATAATAAATCTTTAAAATATAATTTATTATTTATTTATTTCAAAAAAAACACCCTTCATAATTTTTTTAAAATATTTTTTTTCATTTTTTTATTTTTCATATAAATATTTTATAATAATTAATAATAAATAAAAAAAAAAGAAACTCACAAAATGATTTCAAACGATAACAATACTATTCAAGGTAAAGAGGATAAAATTTAAAACAATGGCCAATCAAAATTTAATAATTTAGTATTAGATATTTAAATAGAATACACCTAATATGAATAACCAAAATAAAAAAATGAAGAATATTTTATATTAATTAAATTAAATTTATTAATATTATAGTTTCAGCACCAGGTAAAATCATTCTTTTTGGTGAACATGCTGTTGTTTTAGAAAAGACAGCCATTGCAGCCAGTTTATCATTAAGAACTACAGTTACATTTACACCAAACGATAAAAATAGATTATTATTAGACTTACCAGATATCCCAGATTTTGGTATTAAAGAATGGAGTTTAGATGATTTTAAAAAGTTAGGTCATTTCCCAACAGGTATTTATCATCATTATTATTATAACCAATATAACTATAAAACTATAAAATATTAATATTCATTTAAAAATTTATTATTATTAGATATTGATCCATTAAAACCAATTGAGTGTAATCAAGATTTTGCAAAAGAATTAACCAATTTTATTGATATTAAAGGTATTCATACATTTTTGTTTTTATTTTGTACATTGACTAAATGTAATAAAGCAATGGATATTAGATTTTCAAGTGCATTACCAATTGGAGCAGGTTTAGGATCATCAGCATCATTTTGTGTTGGTATTTGTGCAGGTTTATTAAAAGCATTAGATATTTATGCATGTGGCGGTTGTGAACAATGTAAATCAACCAGCGAAGGTCAACCATGCAATCAACAATTAAATTTAATCAATCAATGGTCACTTCAAGGCGAAAAAATTATGCATGGTACACCATCAGGTATCGATAATGCAGTCAGTACCTTTGGCAAAGCCCTCACATTCACTCGTAAAAATGGTTATAGTGTTATCGAAAATGGTATCCCACCACTTCGTATTCTCATCACCAACACCAAAGTAAGCCGTTCAACCAAAACATTAGTCGAAGGTGTTATTAATCGTTCAAAACAATTCCCAACTTTAATTGATCCAGTTTCAAATTTAATCGATACCATCTCTAAACAATGTATTACTGTTTTCGATCAATATCATCAAGATAAAGACTATGACCGTCTTCAAACAGCCATGGATTTAATGTTTGATATGAATCAACATCTCTTATCTGGTTGTTATGGTGTTGGTCACTCAAGTATCGATACCATCGTTTCAATTACCAAATCTTTAGGTTTCCACACTAAATTAACCGGTGCTGGTGGTGGTGGTTGTGTAATTACACTTTTAAAAAGAGATACTACCGACGATCAATTAAATCAACTTAAAAATAAATTAGTAGAATCAGGTTTTGAAAGTTGGGAAGCCACCGTTGGTGATCCAGGAGTTTTAGTTTCAGTAATCCCAAATTAATAAATTATAATAATAAAAAATATAAATAAATTTTATTTTTTTTTTTTTTTTTTTGGGTTTAATTTTATAAAAACATCGCATTTTATTTTTTTATTTATTTGAAAATTACACTAATAAAATAATGATGGCCATCAGATACCCATTTTTTTTTTGGGTTTAATTTTATTTAATTTTTATTTTTTTAAAATTTTTTTTTTCAAAAAAAATAATTTCTTTTTTTTTTTTAAAAAATATAAATTAAAAAAAAGACTACTTTTTTATTTTTTTTCATTAATCAATTAAATCAAATATATATAAAATAAAGTATTTATCATTTTTTATTATTATTATTATTATTGTTTCATTATTTATTTTTTTTATTTAATAAAATATTAATTTTTTTTTTTTTTTTTTTTAGATGGAAGGTGAAGATGTTCAAGCTTTAGTTATCGATAACGGTTCAGGTATGTGCAAAGCCGGTTTTGCTGGTGATGATGCCCCAAGAGCTGTTTTCCCATCAATTGTTGGTCGTCCAAGACACACTGGTGTTATGGTCGGTATGGGTCAAAAAGACTCATATGTTGGTGATGAAGCCCAATCAAAGAGAGGTATCTTAACCCTCAAATACCCAATTGAACACGGTATCGTTACCAACTGGGATGATATGGAAAAAATCTGGCATCATACTTTCTACAATGAATTACGTGTTGCCCCAGAAGAACACCCAGTCTTATTAACTGAAGCCCCATTAAATCCAAAAGCTAACAGAGAAAAAATGACCCAAATTATGTTCGAAACCTTCAACACCCCAGCCATGTACGTTGCCATCCAAGCCGTCTTATCATTATACGCCTCAGGTCGTACCACCGGTATTGTTATGGATTCAGGTGATGGTGTCTCCCACACTGTTCCAATCTATGAAGGTTATGCCTTACCACATGCCATCTTACGTTTAGATTTAGCTGGTCGTGATTTAACCGATTACATGATGAAAATCTTAACTGAACGTGGTTACTCATTCACCACCACTGCTGAAAGAGAAATCGTCAGAGATATCAAAGAAAAATTAGCCTACGTTGCCTTAGACTTCGAAGCTGAAATGCAAACTGCTGCCTCATCATCTGCCTTAGAAAAATCATACGAATTACCAGACGGTCAAGTCATCACCATCGGTAACGAACGTTTCCGTTGCCCAGAAGCCTTATTCCAACCATCATTCTTAGGTATGGAATCAGCTGGTATCCACGAAACCACTTACAATTCAATCATGAAATGTGATGTTGATATCCGTAAAGATTTATACGGTAATGTCGTCTTATCAGGTGGTACAACTATGTTCCCAGGTATTGCTGATCGTATGAACAAAGAATTAACTGCTTTAGCCCCATCAACCATGAAAATTAAAATCATTGCTCCACCAGAACGTAAATACTCTGTCTGGATTGGTGGTTCAATTTTAGCCTCACTCTCAACTTTCCAACAAATGTGGATCTCAAAAGAAGAATATGACGAATCAGGTCCATCAATTGTCCACAGAAAATGCTTCTAAATTATTTAATTATATAACTTTGTATTAATATAAAAAAAATTTTTCAAAAAAAATAATAAAAATAAAACCTTTTTTAAAAAGTGTTGATTTTATCCTTTTTTAAAAAATAAATCTTAATTGTTGTCTTCAATAATATTATTTTATTAATCATTACATTTCATCATAAAATATTTATTTTTCAGTTTGATTTTATTAATTAATAAATTCCACAAATATTGTTTTATTTTTTTATAATATAAATATAAATTTTTTGTGAACTATTTTATTTTATGTGAACATAAATTCAAATATTTTTAACTCATCATTTAAAATAAATAAATGTTATTCATTGTTTTTTTTAAAACATAATTTTTTTTTAAACAATAATAAAGGCGAACATTGTTATGCCCCCAGATAAATTTTTTGTAATAGGCGACCTTAATTTCTTACCAGATAAATATTCTGGTTTATTTGTTTTATTTTTTTTAATTTTTTTAAAATTTTTTTTTTAAATATTTTTTTTATCTTAAAACTTTCTGACCATATACAATTTATTTTTGTTCAAAAGATATTGAAGTTTTTTTGATAAAAAAGTATAAAAAAAAATGATGAGGTTGGAAAATAAAATAAGGAAATATAAAAAAAAATAAAATAAAATAAATAATTATAGTATCTATAATTATACCAGTATTGTGAAATTTAAAAACCCTTTTTTTTTAAATTTTATGAAAAATAAAAAATATAAATAAAGGTAAATTTTTTTTTTTTATTCATTCAATCATCTTTTTTTATATTTTTATAATAAATAATTATTTTTATTTTTAAAATAAATAAATAGTTATTTAGTATTATTATTTTTTAATATTTTTTATATATTCAAAATCGAAATTGTAACTCAAAAATGAGATTCTTATTCTTTTTAATTGTTTGTGTTTTAGCTTTTGCATCAAGCGTAGTTCGTGCTATTGACTGTCAAATGTGTCAATATGCTTTCAGCATCACTGAAGACCTCATGTTCCAAAATGCTTCAGTTGCTGATATCATCCCAGCTTTAAGCTCAGCCTGTAACTACCATGGTGAAGAATTTGCTGAATCATGTAACGACCTTGTTGACAACCTTGGTATGGTTTTAATGGAAAAAGCTAATGAACACGAAGATTCACTTGCTGCCTGTACTGATTTAGGTGTTTGTGAAGTTGAAAATGATCTCCTCAAGAAACATCACTGGAAAAAACACTTAAAACCACACAAATGGAACCCATTAAAGAAATTAAAATGCTCAGCCTGCAAACACGTTGTCAAAGCTGCCGAAAAAGTTATCAACAAAGGTACTGATGAAGGTAAAAACTTTGCTTCATCTGAATGCAAACACTTAGGTAAACCATTATCCCACGTTTGTAACAAAGTAAGTTGTTTTTTTAAATTATAACATGTTATTTTTATATAATACTAATTGATTTTATTTTTTAAAATAGTTGGTCGGTAAGATTTTCCACAAAATTATTGCTGAATTAAAGAGAAATGAAGATCCAAACAAAGTTTGCCACAAACTCCATATGTGCAAATAAATTTTTTATTTTTAGTATTTTGGTTTTTATTCCTTATAAATTTAATAGTAAATAAAAAAATTTATAAATTTTTAAAAAAAAAAAAAAAGAAAATATTTCCAATTTTTTTTTATAAAGTGAACCTTAGCAATTTATCATAATTTATAAGAAATATTTTATAAATTCAAAAGATTAAACCTAAATTTTCCTTTAATAAGCGGGAAGAGATTTAATACCACCTAAATTAACCTTTTTTTGTATTAATTGCTAACCACGAATTTTTGACTTACCCCTTCAATAAGAATGGCGAAAAGGTTAACAAGATTTTTATTAATTTATTTTTAAGAAAATTTTTAGTTATTTAATTTAAGATATTTAATTTTTGTTGAGTAATTTTTGTTATTTAATTTTTATTTGTAATTCATCGATAAAGTTCAGTAGCTTTCCAGGTGTATCGGTATTTCCACTCAAAATATATCTGAATTCCATATCTTGCTAAACTTCTCTAGCCTGTTGACTATCTTCATTATGTGGTGTCGCTGAATAGCTGGATCTTGGTGTTGAAGTTTCTTATATATTCGGTTTTATTTTTGACTTCTCTTTCCCATGCTGCTACGCAGATTACCTTGAATCTCTTGAGTACTCTTTCATATGTTAAATCGAATGTGAAATGTTCATGATTTTTAGACATAAATTACCGGAGGTACCCTATTTTAAAAATACCATCAAAAAAGGGAAATTAGTTAAGTGGTATAATGCTACCTTTGGGTGGTAGCGTCCTGAGTTCGATTCTCGGATTTCCCCACTAAAATTTTTTTTTAAAAATTGAGTTTTATCTTCCCAGAGATGTTTATTTTTGGTTATTAAAATTCACCCAGGTTTTCTCAATCACACATGAATTGACATCACCGTGCCCAACTTGTATGCATTGGAAACATCAAATATCAACCAAAACAATAACTTCAGATTACCTATTTAAAAACTACAATGATTGGATACAAATAAAAGTTAAAAAAGGACTACTAGACGGGTTGAAATCCATTAAAAATAAAGACGGCAAACCTCTTTCTTTAGCAGAATGGTATTCGGAAATAAACAATCTCAACAGCTTTACACCCAAAACAGAATTCCAACAATGTCTTCAACTTACAGGTTATAGCTATATCAACCTATTCAATAATATACTTAATATTAAAGATCCAAAATCAAGAAACACTCTATTCAAATTCCAAGCAAGATGCTTACCCATCAACTTCATTCACAACAAACCATGTAGACTATGTAATGAAAATCTTAATAATGATCCATATGGTCATCTATTTTTCAAATGTAAAAAAACTCTGAAATTCATCAACTTTAATAAACTAAAATCATTTATATTCATTACTTCGGGAAGGGGCCTCAATTGGTCACTAGACATAACAAGATCAAGAAGGAATATATCAATAAAAAATATTACATACAAAATCCCAGAAGGTCGCAAATCCGATGGAGAAATAAATATGGATTACAACAACACCAGATTCCACAAATCACACTTCCAATGGAACTATAAAGCAATAGATTTCGACTTAACTAGATGTTTCGCTTATAGAAATGCCATAGCCCTGGTATTTCATCAAGTTTGGATTTGGTTATGTAAAGAATTATATGACGATCAAGAAAATACAATAAAAGAACTCGATTATAAGAATCTAACCTCAAAATGGACTAAACTAGCTACTTTAGAATACTTAAAAGGTTTAAAAAACATCAAGGAAAGACACGCTAAACAACCACAAACAATTAGCAACATCAATGAAGAATATAGAAAATTCAAAAGAAGAATAGCAAGAGCATACTTCATCAGCATCAAATCTTTACCAAATATCAACAGTTTAGAATATTTTCTTTAAAAACATTACAAAAAACATTAAATAAAATTTACTGATTAATTTAAAGCATTT